CCTATATAATTCTTTGGTGCCTGCCAAGCCGAGAGATGATTCATTTGTTTTGTCTTGCAGCCTCGAAGACATGCCTCCTATGTGAGTTTCCCCTAATAAACTCTATTAATTACCCCTGGAGTGGCAGCCTTTCTTTGGTCTCTCCTGCCTTCCATTACGGAGATAGATGTTCAGTCCCGGGAATGTCCCCTGGGTCTGTGTGTATGAACGCCGATGGCTTTACTTTAATGTATGTTTTACCACACTCACCCCATCTCCTCTGGAGTGCCTGTGTCATTGGCCCAGAGGATGCTGGGAGTGCTCCTGCCCATTTATTCCCATCTGCTGCACACAGGGTCCCACTAGGACCCTCAGTATCATCCACCCCGTGAAGAACTGGCAGACCAGGCGCCCAGCTTCCTTGGTTTGCTGATTTAAAAAAGCAAAACAGCTATTTCTAGTCTTCTAATGCTTCATCTCAGTAAAAATCACCAAAGACATCTTTCTGAAATTAAACTGCTTAAAAGCATTAACTTTAGTCTGGCTAGAGATAGAGGCTCCCTTTCACTTTTCCACTGGGAACTACTTACTTAAAACTCTATGGGCTTCGATCTTTTTAGTTTGAGCCTATAACCTCAGGCAGATTAAGGAGCCAAGCAACTTTCTGGTAGGCACTCCATAAAAAGGCATAAAACATCCCTGGGAAAAGTAGAAATGCCAGCCCATTAGCTTAGGTTCCCCTTCTCCAGCTGGTGTGACTCCATCTCTGTTGAGCACATGGGGCAGGGCACTCAATCCCAGTGAGCTCACCCCTCTCCCAACTCTGAGATCAACCCCAGGAGAGACCTGGCCAGCCTGGGGAGCAGGCCCACACAATTCCGAAACTCGGTTACACATGCATAGCGCTGCTCCCTGGGAATGAGTGACTGATTTTACTCTCTAAATTTTAAATCATTTAATATGCCTCCAAGTGGCTGTCTGGCTTGGAAAGTCTCCTGTAATAAATTCATGTAATAAATTTCCTATTGTGAATTTAGTTACAGAGGCATATCGTTTTTCTTGATACAACATCAGCTTACCCTCTTCCATGAAAAGGTTGTTGACAAGTAAGTGCTGAAAGATCATTTGCTGGAATCCGGCCCACAGCACCCAAATGTCCTTGCCCAGCCCTGCCTGTACCCCAAAGGGAGGCCGATATCTGTGGGGTGGGGATTCCTGCTCCCAAGCAGTGGGACAGCACTAACCTGGGAAGAATTCTTAGTCAAACAAGGGCTGTTTACTCTGTTCCAAAATTCCGTTTCATTCCTGTGCTTTCCTTTCCAAAGAAGCCAACACCTACATAATGCACCCTTGTTTTTAAAACAGTAAGACAGGTAACTCAAAGTTATAGCTCCAAAAGCAACCACAACAAGGCCACATCCACATAGATTCATATAAAGGTGTTAACTTTTCTATCCCCCTGAGCTCTAGAAAGTGCCATCTACCTGTCCGGAGACCAAATTTATGCACCTAGGACCTCAACCGGAATCTCTCTCCCACATGGCAATTTTCATTCTATAATACCTGATTTTTAGCATGAAAAATATGTCGCACATTCACAGCCAAACACAGAGCTCAACACAGACGGTGAG